ATTTGATGTTAAAGTACGATTACGAACATGATTCAAACAAGTAAATGAGGTAGATGTAGCAAATATATCATATTCAATTAATAATTTTAATGGTTTATGTTTTTGATGTAATTTATCTAACTCACTTAAGTTAAAAATATATGATATGCCGTTATTGATAATATTTTTCATATTGATATTATCAATTTCAAAATATTGTGAATTCTTTAATTTGTAAGACTTATACACTGGTTTAAATTTATTAATATAATTTTTAATAATATTATTATTTTTTATTTTTAATAATCTAACATCACCTAAATTATAAGATAATACAAGGTTTTTAATGTCTAATGGTAAATCATAAAATAACATAATATATTTAAATCTTTATTTTATTTTAAATGCTTTTTCAAATCTAACATAAAACATATTATTAACATCTTTGGAATTCATATTAACATAAAAGAAGGAGTAGGGCTTATCATCTACCGCTTTATGATACATATTTAACAGTTGCTCTTTATCAACGATGGCGGAGTTTTCCTCAATGAATGACATTAACTCTGATACATTCTTTAACTTGAAGATATACAACGAACTTGAATTCAACCTAATGATTGGTGCTAGGACACGGTATTTTTGAACACTTAAACAAAAACTAATGGCGTCGTGCCTGCCTCTCGTTGCCAGTCCATGAATAACTTACTATATCTAACAAATTTAGGGTCGTCTGCAAAATCATCAACAATGATTAAAATTGAATGTAGTTTCTTCATCTTCTGTTCTTTCATATAATGAATTATCTTTCTTTGTGTGTTAATTATTTCTTCCAGTTCTTCAGGTTGGTAGGTGTCATAATATAACTTTTCTTTTTCATCATCAACCTTCATATTATCTTTTTGATATTTCTTGACTTCAACGAAGGTAGGGTCATTATGAACTGACGGGCTAAAAATGAATATACGGGCGAAGCAGTCCCTATAAACATTTAGGATAAGGTTTTGATTAAAACTGTTTTGCCACCCGTTGATGAAGCAACAACAATTGAGCGAAAAGGTAGTTTTGGTACATGTTCATATTTAGATTGTTTGAAATCGTAATCAGTTATATTTATTGGTTTTATTATTGGAACATCAGACATAATAAAATAATATTAAAGTTATTTAGAAAATATTTTATATTTATTATTTTATATGAATAGAAGTTATTCGGATTATATTGATATAATAGATAAAGTAGAAAATATAGAACAAGTAATAATAACCGATAATAAAATTAAGAAATGTTGTTATTATTCATTAGAATTAATTAAGTTAGGAATACAATATATTAAAAATATAAATATTAATATAGATGGGAAGAAAGAAAAAGAATAAGACCGAGCCAGTTGTTTCTTCAACTGATGAAGAAAAAGAAGAAATTGTTAAAGAAACATCAGTTATTGAGTTTGCTTGTCCAATGTGTAACAAGATGTTAGAAATGAAAAATGAATTAGAAATACAAAAGAAAGGACATTGTAAATGTTCGTGTATTCCAACAAGTTTCAAAATAAGTAAAAATGATAAGAAAATGAATATTGATAAAACTAAAGACAGTATAAATCTGGAAACGGATGTTCATAATATTGCTATCAAATGGGGAAGGCATGCATCACCATCCGATAATGGTGATAAGGAAACACAGGAAACAGTTAAACAAATAATGAAAAATTAGTATTTAAAGAGTAGATTTAACATAATTGCAACATTTAGTTTTAAAAGTTTAGTTTTATAATTTAGTATATATATGGAAGAACATTTAGAGAACATTGACAGTAGTTTGGAGTTGTTGTTTCCAAGATTAGAAAAAGTGTTGGAGCAAAATGAAAACATACTGAACATCTTAAAGAGCATGAATATTAAACCTACATATAATAACAATAGCAATTATCAAGCAAAAGAAGTAGATAGAGACAGTAGCGAATACAAAAATAAACGAAACATTTATGTTAAAAAACTGAATGAAAAAGTCATAAAAGAACCTAAACAATCAAGTCTGGATTACTATCAAGTCAAGTATAAAGAAGACACCAAGAAATACGTTTAATCATTAACCAACAAAATTTCGTGTCTCAAAAGCGGTTTGTTTATTCCTGCTACTTTGTAAGTTTTATTACCCATAATATCATATTCAATTTTATCGATATTGAATATTTTATTAGACCATTTAGAGTTATACTCCTTTCTGTCGGTGTAATTACCCCTTTTCTTTTGAAACACTTTTACCTTGTCGTTCTCCTCTATTTTGGGATACTTTCTTTTGTTTTTTTCTCGTAGTTTAAGATTGACCTTTACATTTATTTCATTGTCGTCCTTGTGTGCTTCAGACGGTGTCATCCTTGTTGATGAGTGAGATGTGCTGTTATACTGTTTCAATGCTGGCGTTAGGGCTTCGGTCCATTTCATGTTGTTAAACCTAACTCTATCGTGAATTTTGTTTTTCATCGTTCTAATAAAACGCTCGGCCACATTTGCGTGGGTCTTCGTAACGATGTGGTTTATTCCTTCACTGTTGAAGAAATCCTGAACTTGATTTTTAGTTGCAAACGCTCCGTCGTCATCAGAATACACGGACATCGGATAACCCATCTTTTTAAAGCTTGTTCTCAACGCCTTCAAAACGTGCTCTCCGTCTCTTTCCTCCATCGGTATTACATCTGCTAATTTACTGAAGATGTCAATCACGACTAAAGCATACTGTGGAACGTTCTTGTCTTTTGCTAAAGGTGACATATGCATTATGTCTATTTGATATTCATATCGTGCGAATGGAGCGGTATAGGAATTAGTACCTCTATAATTTTTGATTTGTTTATTTGGTTGTTTCTTTAAGAAAGACTTTACATCGTCTAATGTTATTGTTGGGTCTTCTTCCTTTGCCTTCTTGTGTGTCGCTTGTGTGCTTCCGAAACCCTCGTCTAAGTCGTAATAGATGTTGCTGATTATTTGGTCTTTTGTTAATCTCGCCATTATATTAAATTGTTAGAAAATATTTTTTCAATATAAACCCCCACCCCTCAACATAAAAAAAAAAAACTACTTAAAGAAAAATGGATATAATATAGTAAGAGAAACAAATGACACTGTTTAATTATGACCATTGTCCTTGTAAAAATAAATGTAAGTCTGTCGTGGCACTAGCTAATATTTTACCTGTTGATGTGTGTAATCTTATAGGAGGCTATATTAGAGAAACATGTTTTGATTGTTGGTATTTGATGGATGAAGAAGAAAATTTTAAGAGAAATAAAGACATTCCTGAAGAAGGACTGGAAAAAGCAGAACTTCAATTAAACATTATTAAACAAATGCAAAATAAAGTGCAAAATAATGATATTACACAACTAACAGGATACCATTTTAGTTTAAAACATTACAGAAAAAACATTGACAGAGTATTTGATATACAAGAAGTTAAAGAACGGTTTAAAAATAGAAAAATGTATTATCAAGCATTAAAATCATACTGTAAGAATAATGAAAATGAAGTTTGTTTAGTTTTAAGACATTGTCTTAACATTGAAGCTTTAAAAACAATTAAACGTTGTGGGTTTAGCTTTCCAAACCTAAACAGTTGGTGGTCATATAGAAATAACAATTATTATATGAGATATATTCTTAGCGAATTAATTGAAATTTACACAGACCAATTAATGAAAGGATACGAGCATTATTGTTGCGAGTATAGTATGAGTTGTTATAGTGGTTGTATCGCTGGTGAGATTGAATATGGGTCAAATTAACTTTTGTTTATTAATATTATTCTCTTATAAAATGATTAAACATTGTTTTATAATCTAACAAGAAGGTTAAGACATTTAAATTAAACCTGAAACCCAGAGCAGCCGACCAGCAACCCCCTAGCCAAAACTACTTAAAGAAATATTACCTTATATATTAAGAGACAAATGAACGGTGATGGAATCAATAATTATATCGATAAAAAATGCTATGATTGTTGTCACTTCAAAAAAGAAAATATGGAATTGTATAAATTGAATTTGCCTAATGAAATAGTGAACAATATTATTAATTATTCAATGGATGAAAAAGACGAATGTGAACATTGTCAGGAATGGAGGGATAATCAATTTTTAATCAAATGTCTGTTGAGAATAAAAGGAAGACATAATAGAAATGTAGAAGATGATATTTTAATATTTCTAACTGTAAATAAAATACCACCTTACGATTATGTTAAACAGTTTCTTAAAATCAGTAAGAAAAAATATGACATGATTTATGATATCTTATGGATGTTGGGTTATAGTCAAGAGAAAGGAGAATATATTAAAGAAAATATCAAATTATTTATTGAAAGTAAAAAGTTCAATGTTCAGAATACAGTGAGAGATGTTAATATTATTTTTAAAATGATGTATGAAAGAAGTAAGACAAACCAACTAGATTATTATCCTGAACTGAAATTATAATCATAATATAATAATAACATGTAAACTCTTATATGTTATAATTATACTGAACTTTTAACCTATAAATGAAAATTAATGAGAACAATACTAACAAAACAAATACACCACCAACACCCCAGAACTTGATAACTACTAAAAGGGCCAACTCTTTCAAATGAAAAAAATGTCGGCCCCCAGCCCAACAATGAACAAGGCGACAATTTACCCAATTGATTACCTTAACGAAAACGATAAATAAGCTCCCCGAAAACACCCTTTTCAAAACGAATAAGGGGGAACACAGATTTGAGATGAACATAAAAACCAGAACAGGCAACCATCAACAGGCCACCCCGCGGGCCCCCCCTTTTTACCATTTTTTCCCCCCCCCCCGGTTTTCCCTTGCAATTTGTCCGGGGCTTGTCCCACCCGGGGGTAACCCAACCCGGCAATCCAAACCGATCGCCAGGTCAAGTAACCGAGCCCCGGACTTTGTTGTTGATCCAACCCCCCTATCTTCCTTCTAGGGATTTGCTTCAAAAAAATCACCCCCCCCCCTGTGTTTTTCCTATTTTTCTGTTTTCGGAAGTTTTCGTCCCACCCGGAAATCACCCCCGCCCCGGTCGCCGGTCGCCGTCGGGCACCCGAACAACACCGAGGAAACCGAGCCGGGCCTTTGTTGTTGATCCATCCCCCGGGCGCTAAGAGCAGCTGGCCCTCGCGGAGCTTCGAGAGCTTCTCCCTGAGGCTCACCACCCACGCCGCCGCCCCCTTGGGGCCCGACCCGAAGGCCCCGCGGCCTCAGCGGAGACGCGGAGCTTGGCGGCGGGAGACGCGGCTTCGCGCGGCTGGGACTGTCCAGAGGTTTGGTGCGCTGCAAAGGGGTGAGACTCTGTGAATGATATTTTGCCCCACTGAAGGTAGCAGAAAAGAAAGCTCTCAAAGAACAAGTGAAACATATATTTACTCGCCAACAGCCCCAAGCTCACTTTTTGGTCTCAAACAGGGTTCTGGTTGGTGCCATTTCTTGAAGGGATGGTCATCCTGCAATGGCTCTTGTCCTCAATCACTATCACGCGGCATATGCCATAGGGCCTGATGCTGGATGTGCTTGTTTTCTCAAAACGCTGTGTTAAACTTCAGGCTGAACATATTTCCATGCGAGAAGGATTGCAAGAAAAACCAATATCGCTTGGCAAATCTACTTGCTCAATCAAAAGGTCAACCCTTCTCTGAATGGTCATTTCAAGAGCATAATCTGGGCATTCGTCAAAGAGGCCGGGCAGAATGGCTCTCCCTCTGGTCTTTCCAAAAGTTGTCCAAACAGGAGCCCCCTTGTGTTGGACGCATAACTGGGGAAAACGAGGACAAACAGCAAATCACAACTTGCTGGTGCTCAGTAGGGATTGACTTGGGGTGTTGGGAACGAACCGCTTTCAGACGTAAAGGAAACCAAATCGGTTGGCTTCTGTCGGAGCCATTTCTTAGGGCCGCCTCTCGAACCAGCAAGAAACGTGTGTCACAAAAAAACGAACACCAACGGAGAAAAAAAAAAAAAAAAACGGCCGCGCAGCGCCGCCAGGAACCGAAAAAAACAGGAAAACTCGGGCGCACGCCTTCGTTGCCAAGCCTGGCAAGTCGCATGGAACGAGGAGATTTGACACGGATTTGACACATGGGGGTTGATCAAGTCCCGTGATCATGGGATGACCATTGGTCTGAAAACCGCTAGTATTCCAACCACATGGGCAAAGTTTTACCCATGGTCCAAACTGGGGCCAGGAATATGGATCAACCTTTACATGGTCTGTGTCAAAGACAAAATGACTGATATCTGAAGAAAGGTGACACAGGGAAGATCTGAACATGCCGGGTTTATCCAAAATGTTCGCCATGAGGCCCGGACACTACCTAATACCTAGAAACGTGTGCCTTGACACAAACCGCAGCCAGTATATAAATGCAAGAGACATGCTCCTAATGACAGATTTCCAATTCAAACAAAAGAAACGGCCGTCAAATTGGACAATCATGCAAAGGGTGTACTGGTTCAAAAACAACCATTGGCTGCCAGGTCTGATTTCTCTGTGTTGCTCATCCAAGAAGGTGGCCGAGGATCGAGGAACTGGGCTTTTTGACCATAAGGAACTGGTCCTGGTCCTCGGGTCAGCAATTCTTGTGCCAGAACATAGGGTTATAATGTGTATATATATATGTATATATATATATATGTATACTCTTATTGGTTTACATATATACTCTTACAATGTGTATATATATATATATATGGTACCCCCCCTGGAATACTCAGGTTTTTGGCCAGAGATTGACTTTTTGGCTGTAAACATGCATGCAAAACACACGTTCCAGCTTCTAAAATGAGGCTCCAAAAATTGCACTCCTTTTTAGACTTAAATTCTAGCATCGGTACTTAGTGCAATCCAGGATGTGCTAGCACATACCAGTTTGTCCTCAGCTGGATTGCCTTAAGTGCGGATTTGAAAAATCCAAAAGGCAGCCCGGGAGTGCACGTTGTCAGGATCAAAATGTGGATGTGCACTTGCGCTGCCTGCAATTGGCCAGGGGGGAAAATGTTGCTGACACTTTTACAGCTTTTTTGTGGACTTGAGGGCTGGGCAGGATGGAAGATTCTCAAATAGAAAATGTGGTAGGTCTTCAATCTTCAATGCAGGGGGCGAAACCTTAATGAGTCTAGAACAAAGTGTCAAGTTTGTGGGGGACCAGGATTGAGTATGTTCTAAACATATGTTTGTGGAATCTTGTATATTCGATGTTCGATCCAGGGCAATACGATCTCAGCAAATGCTGAAAAACTCTGCGTTTTACAGCATGTATGCAAAGAATAGGATCTATGATTGAAAACACGTTCCTGTCATTGGCTTGGCTCAGTTCTTGCTTGGTTCAAACCACATGGAGTTCGACAAGGACAATGACCCTTTCAAAATTCAGTTTGATTCCAAAATTTATTTGGCCATGGCAGTAGCTATCTTCTCCAGTTGCTTTTTGAAATGCACAATAAATTGAACTCGAAAGCTTTTTTAACTGGATATTCTTCCCTTACTTGAATTTCAATAGTTGTTCTTGGCGATGGTGGAACCAACTTAGACAAGCAACACACACACAAACGTGGAATAGTTGCTTTGCAACATATGTTTCAAATAGACTGAACTAGCATGTCAGGAATTATGCACAACACTCGAGTTAACATGCAAACGCAACTGCGCAAGGACATGAATTAGGAATGAGTTCCTTTTCCCCGAGTTGATGTTTTGCTGAATTTCGCTGCCAAACTAAAATAAAAAAAAACACCAAATAATAGGTCTGCTACAGGCGCGTTGAAGCTGCCAAAACATACTTCGCGCACTGCTCCTGTACTGAACAGTTGTGCTTTTTGAGCTGGAGCTGCCAAATTGCACTTTGCGTACTCCAATGTGGCTTTAAGTGCACTTCGCGCGCGCCAATGTGACGGTCACACAACTCGCAACTCCTAATCAACGTTGAGCTTAACTTCTGCTTGGTTAGGATTTGCATGGAGTTGAGTGTCCAGTTCATTTCAGAGTCTCAAGGCATTTGTCACCCCCAGTCTGGCCAAAAAACCTCAGTTCTGCCCAAAAACCTGAGTATTTCAGGTGGGGGGTAGCATATATATATATATATATGAGTACTCTTATTTGTTTCTATATATACTCTTATATTATGCATATATATATATATACATATATATATATATGTGTGGTGGCTACATCAGAGTCCTCCAGCAAATGTGTCAAAACCGATCAACCAATAAGCCCAAACATCGAGATCTTCTCGTTGCTGCGATTGTTTTTAACTTCCAGACGTATCCGAGCCTCGGATTTTCGGGTCCTTGGCATCTTCTAAAAAGGGACTGTCACACCCGATGTCCAACAAATTCCGGCCTGGCAGCCTCCTCGAAGAGCTTGGAGGCTTCTGATATGGCCTGGCACAGGGCTCCCAATTTCTGTCCCTTTTAAACACTAGGTCCTCCAGTAGAGGGGTTAGAATAAGGGTACCCTTTTTTCCATAGTCTATTTTAGTAGGGAACCCCTCCCCAAAAAAGGGTAAAGGGCACTACTGGGAGACCTAGAACATCACTCCAACAGAGGGAAGCTCCTTTTTAAAGTGTCACCGAAAGGTCATGTCTGAAACCATCAAAAGGGGAAGTACAGGGAGCCCTGTGGAAGCTGTCGGTTCGCCTCCTTTGATCGAACCTTTGCTTTTTTGATGGTTGGGGGATACCGACCGGGCCTCAACGCAGAAGTCCAGAAGACCCTGCTAACCAGCCAGACTGGGGCAACTATCTTGCGTCAGTTCCCCGGCGGATCTGAGTCCTTGCCGAGACGAAAAGCAATGTCACCATGCAGTTTCTACCTTCGTCCTTGAATTACTTCTGCTGATTTCTGTGCCATCCCTCCACCAACTTGACAGCCTTGAAATCCGGATCAGCAATGCAACTGCAGAACCCGGCTGCATCAGTTCTCTGCAACGGCGTTTGTTTGATTCCGTCCGGCTTCTTTTTGAAAAGCATAAATAACTGCTAAAACGACAGCTCACCCATTTCGTCGATCAACGGAATCGCATGCAATGAGCTTCGGCAAAGCAGGTTATTGTTGATACGTTGTTTGGCAATGATTCGTTGCGGAAGGTTAAACATGCTACCCAACAGTTTAAATGACTGACTTGGTCCATTGGGCCAGTTGATTCCACTCTCTCAGGTCTGGCACATGAAACATCCAGGCTGTTGCAAAGGGCTATCAGTTACCTGATGTTGGCTATCAGTGCTTGCTCCTCCCCGTCAGCTGTTGACATAATAAATACCAAACCGATTTTAATAGCACGGCGTATAGGAGTTGATCATGCACAAGCCAAGCAAGACTTGTTCACTTGTCGCACTGCACGGCACTCATATAGCTTTCATTGGCAACCTGTTGTCTTCTGGGTCAAGACCACCCTTGGACTATTCCCGAGAAAAAAACACCCATGATCAAAGGACGCCAAGTGGGAAGGCCCATTATTCTTCGATAATTACGAGAACTGCAAACAAATCATAAACAGCAACGATTTATCATCATGTTCGCGGGTTAATCCTCCCTTCTTTGTTTTACAGCAGTGTTCTACATGGTTCAAGATCAGGGGCCTGCCTTTCCATAGCAAATTGCGAGTCTTGCTTCCCAAATGTGTTGCTTCACATGTCTCGACCATCAGAAACCCAACGTCAAACTTCATGTAGTTGTTGGCCCACATCCACAAAAGGGCAACTGCTATGTGGCCATGGGTCAAAATCCTGTACCTCCAGTGAACATCGCAATCCCCACTAAAATAGGTTCTAAAATGGGTGGTGAAATCACCTACCAACCAAAATGGGATACCAAAGCTGTTTTGACCCACAGCCAAGTCTGGCACAAGTTCTTTGCTCAGAGAGTAAAACAAGACTCACCAGCCTCGGATGTCTTGCCGTCGGTCTTCAGGCGGCCCAGCCAGCCAGCGACGTCACTCAGGGTCTCCTCCTCGGAAGATGTTGAAGTGAACCAGGTCCCCCCAACAGCTGTGGCCCCGTAGTTATCAAAGTTGGTGACTATATAGATGCCCCCTTTTTAAAGGCCAGCTTTCAAGGCAAAGGAAAGTGCGCATCTTTGCGATAAAGTTGGATAGTGAGCTAGGAATGTTTAAAGGCTCTAGTTTGTGCTTTAGGCTCCATTGCGCACGAACACAGATTGAATCAATCACATAAAAATACACATACGCCAGCCATGTCTACCCTCCCTCCCACTAACATGGCACCTGACAAAGGGTCCCTTGAAGAGGAAAACTATCTTGCAGGTACCCTCTCACAGGTGCTATGTTAGTGGAAGGGTAAAAACTGAAATCATACGAGCATCGAACATGACAGGCAGCAAGACAACTCTTGTTTTCCCGTGCCGCACCCCCAACTTAGGTGTTGCATGCGCCTGATTCAGCTCAATATTTGGCTATAGGTCAAACCTTAGCCACCAGACATTCGCAGAGTTCAGTCCTTGTTTCCATTTACCAGGGTTCCATGTTGGGTACCTACGTTTGTGTGTGTTTCTGCAAACTCCATCAGTAAACCCTCATCTTCACACACATTCTCGCTTGGGCCCCTTCGCGAGAGGAATGCGCAACGCATGGCATCCCAAAACTTGTTTGTTTGTTGCGAGGGATCAAACCCAAAGACATACTGTGGATGGACAACTGCACTTCGCACCACGAAATGACACCATGGGTTGAAACCATCGTCTGTTTGGTGAACCCATGATGATACCCATAATACTGTAGATATTTGCGAGATCTATTTCGAACCACGAAATGACACCATGGTTGAAACCATTTGTTCGTGTCTATTCGCAGGGGAATGGAATCAGAAAACCTGGGTTTCTGAACGGTGGTGCCTAAGAGGATTTCGCAACCATCCACAGTATTGACAAATGTACAAGGCGCACAAGTGCGAAGAAGTGAGCACTACAAGAGGAATCGATCCGAGCCTGTGGCCTTTCGGACTTTGGAAAATCGGATCATTCGCAAGCGAAAGGTATACCGTTTTCCACACGCCTCAATCAAGCGTCTTGGCGTCATTCGTGTAACAGCGCGACACCTTGCCCGTTTCAAGCGTGCAAGGGGAATCCTTGAGGTGTGGGATGGTGCAATTGCTGAAGCCAGACGGGTGCCCCCGAACATTGGCAGGGCAAAAGCAACAAGTCCGATCACCCCATGATCGAGCCATGCCGAGCCTGCCTGGGTTCTGACAATGGCTGAAAAAAGGATAACTGCTCTATTCACCTCCAAGAATGTGCTGTCACGGCGCATCTGCCACCAAGGTTGAAGTCACTTTCTTGCTTGTCACTTCGAAACGGCGGTGACATATGCTCACGTCTCACCATGACGTTTCATTGGATTCAGCTCGGTACATCCAACAGGCCCAAAGACAGCCTACAGATGTTCGGGTAGTAAGCAGAACAAGACAAGTGAAACAAGCAGCTCCTACTACACCCAAACAACGACTACCCAAACTTTACAAAATGATATGCGGTACGCGTGGCTGTTACTTGTCGATTTCTTAAGTTGAATCAACCAGGCTTCTACCCATGTCTTCCCAAGCAAGCCTATAATATTGGTTTTGGTCTGTTTTTTGGGTACCTCTCAAAAGTGGTAAGTTCTTCCTTGGTGTCCTTTTAATCCAACCCCCAAAAAAGGGTACACCTCAACACAAGACACACCCGGAATACTGTGGATGGACAAAAACCTGCAGCACTTAGAACGTGGTTTACCCATGTTTGTCCCACAATTCACAGGGGTTTCTCATGGTTTATCCGTCTCAGCTGCTGCGAAATGATTTTGTCAATCCACAGTATGTGTTCGTTTAATCCAACCCCAAAAAAGGGGGTACACTCAAAACAACAAAACACGCCCGTTTTATGATTGAAGCAAAACAAACCACAACTGGGCCGCCCTCAGACGCCCTGCTAAAAGTTCTCAAATTTTGGTGGGGTACGTGAAAACTACGACTAAACCCGCCAAAAGCCAACAAAGCCAAGGAACCGCATGGCCGGGAGCCACCAAGACACACGGCGCTCCTCCTAACTCCGAGCCCTTCGGCGCTCGGAAACCGAAGCCACGCCGAGGCGCGGAATGGCCACCCTCCAAGTTGGTGTTGGCCACGTAGGGGTCGCAGAACAAGCCGATGACCTGTCTCGTAGGTTCCGGACATTCTATCACTAAAAACACGTTGTCCCGGGTGATTCTATCTTTCCTTTGCTTTAGCACCCTGGAAGAAAAAAAACATAAAACCTATTTGCAGTAGTAATAGATTCCAACTTTAAACCGAACAGGCTTATGACAAAACCTATTCATTTAAGCAAATGGAAGTTTTGAATCCAGGGAAAAGCGGACAGAAATTTCTGGGACCCTGTTGCAACCCCGCAGACATGGAGGAACAAAAAGGCCGAGGAACCTTGGCACCAGCCGTAGAACCTTGGCACCTTTGGAACTTGAATTCTCTATGAACTGGTAGGGCCCTACTTCAAGGGGCCTTGTCTAGGTCCTCCAGATTTGAGAGGTTAAATAAGGATACCAACGTTCTTCCTTTTTGTCTACTTTAGTAGGCTTCGGAACCCTCCCCCAAAAAGGGGTGAGGAAGGGCACTACTGGGGGACCTAGCTGTACTTAGTGAGTGGTGATCGTAAGCTTGGTGTAATAACCCACACAAGCCATGCTTATGAGTCTCCATTCTGGTAATGTTGACCCCACATAAATCAACCCCGGTTTATTAGTATCGCGGTGCTTTCCCTGGGTGAAATGTGGGGAATCAGGCCACTTTTGGAGGGGCCAAAAACCACCCCCCGACTAACAAACCGGGGTTGATTCATGTGGGTTCAACAGGGGCCCCGAATGATTGGCAATCCCTGTGGCCGGCCCCCAGCCACACCACGAATTGAGGGTAATACAGCCTGGAATGGAGGCGGCCCTTACGTTTCCGCACAACACCAACCCTGCGCATCTCAAGGGAAGAACGGCACAACCTCGGAAAGGCAATCGATCCAAGAGTTCTGAACAAACATGAGCTACCAATTTCTAACATGTGGTTCTTGAATTTCCAAATGGGCTACATTTAAGGAAAAGCGGGATCAACCTTTCTAATAAGCATTTTGTTTAATCCAATAGATGTGGTTTAGTTTTTCCGAACACCTACTTGAGGACTCACCATGCTGTGCCTGGCAACCCGGCCCAATGGCTTGAGTTTGTCGAACAAACGGCAAGAAATAAGCCACGGTCAAACAAAAGGTGCTGTGACCCTGAAGGACATGCATGTCCTCCATGTGCTTAAGACCCCTGGAAAAAATGAAATATGTCCAGTAGTGATAAATTACTTTTAAAACCAACAAGGGATCATAGAACATATTCTTAAGCAAGATTACTTTTTGTTTCATAACTGTTGGGTGAGCTTTACCATGAGCTCGTTCTTCCCCCCAGGTGAGCTCGCCCTATTTTTTTTTGCAGACAAACACCACCATTAAAAAAGGAAAGAAGAAACACAAAACGCGGCACGACACGCGTTTCTCCGCGCAGACTGAGCTAGCAGCCGTTTTGCTGTCCCAGGGTTCTTGCGACATTGCGAATGGAATGAAACACAAGCAGAAGGGCCACGAAGAGGTGTTTCTTTTTTCTTTTTTACAAAGGAGTGCAGCAGCATTCCCTGGTTAAAAAAGCAAACGACCAGAAAGAAGAAAAACCATCCCCATAGAAAAGAGCATGCAAACACCCGGTACTACTGTTTACCTCTCGGCTTTCTGTTCTTGCACTACCTTTACCACAGCTCATGCAAACGCTGCGGAGAGCGTGCGTGTTGTGGCCTGCAAGACTGCTCTCCAGCGTCGTTTCAACGCAGTATTGCTGCAAGGCTTGCATCTTTAAGGTACAGTCTAGCCCTCTCACGTATATCTCGAGGATGCGCTTCGAGAGCAAAACTGACATGAGTGCCTTCTCTCAGAGGGAAAGTGAGCCGCCCGAAGAGAACCTAACAAATAACATATACATCAAACATAGGTACCCAAAATAGAACTCTGGCAAACGGAACCAATGACTAAAACCTACGGCTTTCCGGTGGCTAAATTTTGACTCATACCCACATAATAACCAACCGAAAGGTCCCTGGATTGAAGCATTCGCTGAATCACCCAGCCCGCCAAACAGGGGATGCTTCCCCCAACTCACCATCCGCCGAAGAAAATATCAGCTTGGTCAAAAGCCGCACTAGACCAGTCCTCATGTTCTTGCTCATGATCGTAGAGGCAACTGAGACTTAAACACAACCGCAAATGGTACCGCTGAACAAGTGGTGTTGGGCTTTTGTTAGAGGCCTGAAACTAAGATTTGCTGCGGAACAGGGCAGCACATGTTCCCACCAAGGAGTAAATTTGCTATGCAGCCACTGAGCTGAACTGGGGGTTCATGCTGTTCCGGCGGTCCCTGGCCCGCCCTTTCCTGTCGCAGTCCAGATTTGACACACCGTGCGTGAAAATTGGGTGCCCCATAACTGGCTGGTGCGACAGGCAGGCAATGAGGGGGAATGACCCCTATAAACCATCCCCGATTTGGTTTCCTTTAAGGGAATTCCCAGGCTCATTCCCTCATTCCCTGCTGAGCACCAGCAAGATAACAAGAAGCTTCCTTCCTAGTGCGATCTGCAACACCGCCAAATGAAGAAATGGGCCAACACCACCCAGTCAAGCTACGGTCGTTGAACTTCTCAAGACCACGCAGGGCTATCGACCAAAGAGGCACGCACCTTGGCAAGAGCAAACCCACCCGGAACGGTTCAACATAACACGGTTTTATCCGGAAATGTGCCTAAATGGGGTCAATGCCCAGTGGGTGTGTTCCCAGGGTGTAATACAAAAACCCTTAGACAAAGGGCCGGGAAATGAAAGAGAAGCTTCTTGGGGCTACAAACACTGGACCGAAGCTGAGCCTGACACCCGCACTTCAGCATCCAACAAAATTCGTACATGCATCGGTTTGGCAAGGAGTTGTGGCCACGTAAAAAGCTATCAAAAGCTGGTAGAACAAACCAACACTGACAAATGAAATGCTCGTGTAATTGGAGGAAGGTTCGCTTCGTTTTGCTTTTCCTGAATGCAATTTCAGTTGGCAGGCAAATGAAATGACATGATTCCGGAAGTTCCAGAATTCACCAAAGATAGTCAGGTTCCGTTGAATTGGGCGCTCCCAGTGCACCTTTGGCTTCCGCAGCGTCGGCGCCTAGCAAGGCGACACGAGCCAAAGCCCAAGTGGAGTTGCGGAAAAAGACAATGGACCTCTGAATGTATGGCAATGGCTTCATGCTGGTTTCCTCTGTTCTTTTGAAGGATTGCAACTACTATATGCAAACAAAAGCACATTCTGGCTCACACGAGCATTGTTTAGCCACCCAGGAAACAATGATAAGGCTCGGAATAACTAATTCCAGCTCAGTTGGGAAAGGCATCCGCGGACATACACAAAATGTGGAAACACCTGTGCATCTACAAGGGGACAGCGTACGAAACGAGCTAGACGGAGGATAAGGGCATGGTTGGCAACCAGTTGTTGGACTCAACATCAGCATATAGTATCTCACCTAGATAGTCTCAATGAATTCTCACTTGAGGATCATTTCACTTTCGGCAGTTGGGCGGAAAGAGGGAGAGTGGTTAATCTTCCGGGTCTACTCGTCGAGTTTCAACATACACAGTCTCGTTTGGCGAGATGTGCAGGTCAGGTCATGCTACAAGAAAAGTCCAGCATGCCTGAAAGCGTACAAATCCCTCGATCCCCCAATGCCTCATCGGATGATTCTAATCCAGGTCCGGTCAACAAGTCGCTCCGTTTGCAGGACAGCAACAACAACAAGTTGTTGTGGAGGTGCACCAACAACCACGACCAGGTTGAACAAACAAGATAGAACAAAAGAGCAATCAAGAGCGCCAAGATCTGGGGGTTGATCAAAGGGTCCTTTAGACAGGATGACCATTGGGGGAAGCCGCTAAAAATAAGCGATATGTCAAGCACATGGGAAAACTGGGCGCCAAAGGGATTGCTCACCCCCCACATACCAACATGATACTTGCTGGTGCGTGCAGCCGTCCCCTTGGGTTTTCGGTTTGTAGGACTTATAGTTGGAATATGATGGGTCATGGGTTGTAGGGGTTGTAACTTGGGTCATGGAATCATGTCATGGGGCCAACCCCATGACTACATGATGGCCCCTATAATTTTAGGCTTGTAGGGTTTGTAGGTTTATTGATCAACCCCCATCTGAGTGTGACTTCTCACACCATCGGCTCAGAACTCGCCCCGCCAGGCCCTTCTTTAGGTCACCGTGCGCCGACAGAAAATATCTCTAAAAGCTCTTTTCAGGTCTTGTTGCGGGGCGTTTACGTGCAAGACCCTCGAGGAATCTGAAGAGCACCCCATTAGTTGTCCCCAAGATTTGTTTCTAAAGACGGATCAGTTCAGGCCCACACTTCATCTCCCAGCGCTGAGCCTTGCCCTCGCCTTCTAGGGTCAGCTTCCAATCCTCAACCCTGGGAGGGTGCATGAAGTACCCTAGGGCCAGAACGCCAAATTCCAAACAATATAATAGAGATATAATATAGGTATACATTTCTACATATGTTTGATACTCGTTGATGAACTAGTCCAATAAATAACAAACAAACAAACAAACACCGACAAACACAGAAGCGACAGGCAAGTAAAACGATAGACAAACAACACTTGTGCTGCCGCGACGTAGGTTGTCACCGCAGGGACAATTTGTATGGGCCGCCATACATTTAGTTGGAGAAATGTACATGCATACATACAACTAAGACACCGCGAAACAATGCAAACTGTTCTTTTAGACTCCTGGAGTTGACAATTGTTGCAAAAAGCACTGCAAACAACTTTTCCCCGAAGCGTCGCAATTCTTCTGGTCTTTTGAGGCAATTACAATTCTGTTTCCCTGTATAGGCAACCAAAGGAACCAGCCTGTAAAAAACAAAAGCTAACTGGGACCCACTGGGACTACTCCAAATGAATCAAAACGGCAAAGCGTCACATGGACGCTTCGACTCGGAGCCTCCTGCTGAAGTTGCAGTAGCCTGGCTGCAAAACTCAAAAAATGTGGCTGGCTATCTGATATCAGCCGCCTAGAGTCTGCAATACGGAAGGTTTCTTCGCCACAGCTCAAGTATGCTTCCTCATCATGGATCTGCGCATCTCAAGTTGGGGCCTGTGGAGGGAAGAATCCGGCAAATTTGCCCCTACTGTCTATGTCACCGGCCGGGAATCTGCACGTGTTTTTGCTTGTCAAAGGGCGAACAAGCCCGCTCAGGTGTCGCTCAGCCCTGCGCACGCGCCTGCCCAGTGTTAAGTGCGCCCGCTCAAGCTTGCCAAATGGTAAGCACACCCGCGCAGGTGCGCCCGCTCAGAACCACCTGCCAAATGGCACACACGCCTGCCAACTGGTAAGCACATCCGCTCAAGTGCGCCCGCTCCGCGCTGCACACACGCCCCCGCTCAGCATTGTGCAAACGCTGCGAAAGATCTAGATGCTTAGATGCTTTGTGGGGAGCGCGTCACCGTTCCAAGGAGCTGGCCTAGCGTTTCGTTTGGGTGTCCTGCAAAGCCACTTGAAATCCGTCGCGGAATGTTCGGTCATGTTTGTTGTTGAGGTCTTTTTGTTTGCCGGTTTTGTTTGAGGCTGACGTTTGCACATCAGCAAACTACGCTCTCGGTTTTCAGTCTGCCGGGATGGTTATGTCTTTGGATGCTGCAATGCTGCCACCAAATGAACCTGAAAACAAGGTTCATGCCTGGGCAGAAGGGCACCAAATTTGGAACTCCCGCAACCTTGCAAGCTTCTGCTGTAGGAGCCAAACAAAGATTGGAAGCTCTTGGGAAGCAAATCTATTATTGCGCCGCGGATTGCCTTGTAACAGCGCATCGGACTCACTTGCTAACCTGATTGCAATAAGTCGGGTCGGAAAAACACAACAATAAACAAAGAACAAGCAAACCCAGTCGATGCATTGGATTGCTGAATTGAATTGCCCCATGCTTGGAACACGACAAGTGATGTTGGACTTGATTCATAAACCGGCCCCGCCTTGAACAATGGACGCGCCAGAATAAAGGCCCAACAATTTGGGACGTCCAAACAATAGAGGACCTCGGTGGTCCAATACTACTTTAGTTTCGGCTCAACAAAAGACGCAATCCTGGCCTCGATCAAACGATCCTGACATGGTTTTTTCGCCCATTTTTGGAGCTGAGGGGGCTACATTCTGGGGGCCACAAAATGGTGAAGCCATTTGTCCGGTGCCCATGGCATTTTGGCTAAGGGATCTGTTAGTCAGCAACCTCGGGAAGGCCAGCGACATTGACATGCGACTCGATGATAATGGTACAGCTATGGGCCAAGGCGCCGTGCTTTTGGCTGGTCAGTGAGCAAACAATGGCAACCCAGGGGGACAATTCGCCATGAGCCTCTGGCAGTTGAATTTGCCATGCCCAGAACACTCAGCTACTTATGCGGTGCGCGCTTCTTTGAGCGGAAGGGGGTCAAAGAAACATACCTTGAGTGTCA